GACAAAGGAGATTAATCAGAACTGGCTTTGACAAGCACTGTGGCAATTGGACAATTAAAACAGACATGGGGGGAAGAAGAACGAACTGGGGATGAGGGTGGAGAAAACAGTGCAACAATGAATGAATGAAAACCCGAAATCTCTGTAAATGTTCATTAAAACTAATAAAATTTAACAACAAAAAAAATCATCTCATATACTCTGGACATGTTGTAAAGAGAGGCCAGTCCTTGGAAAAAGACATCGTAATTGGAAAGGTAGAAAGTTGTCAAAGGAGAGGAAGACCCTCAATAAGATGAATTGACACAGTGACTGTAATAATTGGATCAAGTACATCAGAGATGGTGAGAAAGGCACAGGACAGGGCAATGTTTAGATCTGTTCATAGGGTTGCTATCAGTCATAGTCTCCTCGCAGGGACCTAGCAACAACAATAAATTGTTACCTTTCTGATATATACCTGAGAAAGTAGAGGAAAATACAGAGGGACTTGAATAAAAATGATTTTCTTTTCCTGGTATTTAAGGGCTTCACTTATAATGTAGGAACCCTGGTAGCACAGTATTTAAACACTTGACTACTAATCCAAAAGGGCAGTGTTTCAAACCCACCAGCTGCTCTGCTGGAGTACGATATGATACTCCGCCCCCATAATTTCAGCCTTGGAAACTGAAGTCAGATCCCCTTTGATCTGTAGGAATCACTGAAGCAGAATCAGTGCACTGCACTGGTTTGTGTTGAGGATTAAGGGATAAACTTAGGTAAGAACCGAGTATAATACCTGATAAGGAGTATGACAGTAAAAATTTTTATTTCCTGAATTATGACTTATTAAAATTTAATCAACTTTGAATATGGTTTCAATCCTATGTACTATTTTTACACCTATATAGAATCATTTTTAATATAATTTTATTTTAATTGTGTTTATAATGAACATTTACAGAGAAGATTTTCATTCATTCATTGCTGCACATTTTACCTCCTCCCCTCCCTTCCACCTCTCCCAGTTCACTTTTTAAAAAAAATATTCACTCATTGTCACACAATTGCCTACCTTCCCTCCCCCCAGTCTTCTTTGCAACGATATAGCTCTTATTCTGGGCTGTTATCGTACATATAATGCCTAATCATATATTCATTTTTTAAAATTTTTCTTTCAATATTATTGTTTGATACTAACTCTCATGCTAGAAGCAGCACAGGAGTCAGTTTCAGCTACTTTTCCTCCTTTTACAGACCATATATTCATTTTAGACAGTTCTTTCTTTCACCTGTTCCAAAGCAATGATCATTATCTATCCACTCTTACCCTATTCTCCTCACACCCTCCCATATCAGATCTGCTTTATAACAGTGGTAGTCTGAAGTTTGTCCTTTTGTGACTGAGATAGTTCATTCAGCATGATATGCTCCAGGATGTAATGTTTTACAAATTTATTTTTTTAGTGCTGCATTATATTACATTGTATGAATAAATCAAACTTTTTCTGTTTATTTGTTGATAGCAGTAATTACCCTATTCTTAAAAAGCTACCGTTTTAGTTTTGAAATTAAATTTTCAAATGAAATATATCCTTCCGGTTGCTTGAAGCAAATGGAGTATTTTTTTAAATCATATTTTAGCATATAAAAGAGCTCTGCTGGCCTAGAACTAAGAAGCTGTACTGAAATCCTGAATATGGTTCAAATCCACCAGCTGCTACACAGGGCAAAGATGGAAAGTCTCCTCCCATGAGATTTACTGCCTCTGAAAACCTGCTAATGGATCACCTCTTCATCCATCCTGACTCAGTGGCACACGACAACAATGGAGTTTTTTAGGGTCAAATTTTTACTGTATAAGTATCATTTACTGTAGAAAAATTAGGAGGCTGGGGGAAAAAAATTAAAATCTTTAATCTCACCTCTTGAAAACCATAAATAATGTGGCTATTCTCTCCATTATTGTTGTCATTTTGTGCCATCAAATTGGAACTATATTTTAGCTGACCCTCTAGCAGGTTTTCAGGCTGTAAATCGCACAGGGAGAAATTTTTCATCTTTCTCCTTGTGAGAAGCTGGTGGTTTCAAATCACCTGCCTTTGGCCTGGTAGTGCAAGTCTTTACTGTCTAGGCCACCAGGTCTAATGTTTACTCATAATTAGGCACATTTTTCTATATATGTCATCTACATCTTGAGGGGTTTGTTGTTGTTGTTTGTTTTACGTCTTGTGTTTTTTTCTGCACAGTATAAGAGTGTAGACTTTGAATAGTATACTTTGTATTTCATCCATGTCCACACTGAAATCTTTAAAGAGAAATAGATCAAAACTTTTTCACACAACTAAATAAGTGACGTTCTGCCATGAGCAGCCAGCTGTGCTGGCTCTCCCCATTCCACATTCATACTGCTCTCCACATTCCTGCCAATGATCTCATCTCCTGCATTAGGCTTCTGAATCTTTGAGGTGGCAAGGCTGGCAGGACGTTTGGAGAACAGCCCATGTTCATAGCAGTGCCCTTGACCACTATCTTTGAAGGAGGCACAGCTGTTTATTTCCTAGTGTTGTTACGTGCCATTGAGTCACCTAGCAATCCCTATGCACGACAGCTCTGAACCCTGCCCATTCCTGAGCCAATCTCATCATTTCTAACAGACCCAATCCCACTTTTCCAGTCACTGAGTTAATTGATCTCATTTGGGATCTTCTCGCCTGTGCTGTCTCTCCACCCTCCCAAGCATGATATTCTTCTCCAAGGACTGGTCCCTCCTGGTGTTAGATACCATCAAATTCTTTCTGACTCATAATGACAATTATATCCTGGGACATCCTCATAATCAACCCACTTGTTACAGCTACTGTGTAAATCCATCTCATTGAAGGCTGTCTGCCTTTTGATATCCTTCTTCAGGGATTTTCTCCTCTGGGTAACATGCTCACAGTTTATGAGACAAAGTTTCACATCTTTTCCTTCAGGAAGCATTTTACTGTACCTCTTCCAAGACAGATTTGTTTCTTCTCTTAGCAATCCATAGTATATTTTATAGTCTTTTCCAAATTAAAATAATTAAAAGCCATCAGTTCTTCCTCAGTCAACTCTAGTCATGGTCGAGTGATCACGTGAATATGTTGTTGTTGTTGTTGTTGTTGTTGTTATGTGCCATTGAGTCACCCGTGACTTATAGCAAGCCTATGTACAATAACCCTAAACCCTGCTCTATCATGTGTCAATTGTCTCCCACACACCCACTCCCATTACCCAAGTCATTGAATCAATCCATCTCATCGAGGGCCTTCCTCTTCTGTGCTGCCCCTCCACCCTCCCAAGCATGATGTCCCTCTCCAAGGACTGGTTCCTCTTTGCAGCATATCCAGAGTATATCAGATGAAGCTTCAGAATCCTTGCCTTCAAGGAGCAGCCTGGTTTCACCCTCTCCAAGATGAACTTGTTTGTTTTCCTAGCAGTCCATGGTATATTCAAGACTCTTCTCCAGCACCACAACTCAAAGGCATCAGTTCTCCTTCTATCATCCCTTGTCTTTGTCTCGCTCTCTGATGCATAGCAAATGATTTTAAGGATCATGGCCTGTATCAGGCGCAGCTTAGTCTCCAGACTGATATTGTTGCTCTTCAGTACTTTGGAGAGGTGTCTGACACCTCTAGACTTTCCCAATGCAATTCGTCTTTTAATTTCCTGGCTTTTGGTGCCAAGAGTCTTGACTGTGGAGCCAAACAAACTGAAGCTGTTAACAATCTAAGTCTCTTCACCATCCATCCTGATGCTGCCAGTTGTGACTGAAAATACTGTGGCTTGAGCCAGGTCCACCGTAGTCTTTAAGCTGACATTATTTCTCTTTACAATTTAAAAGAGATCCTTGGCAGCAGATTTTTCAGTGCAATATACCGTTTGATTTCTTGGCTGCTACTTCCATGGATGTTGATTGTTGTATGAAGTAAAATGCAATCCTTGATGATTTCAGTCTTTTTTCCAATTTACCATGATGTAATAATTCATTGGTCTAGTTTGAAGATTTTTTTTTCTTTATGTTGAAATGTAATCTACACTGAAAGCAGCTATAGTCTGTGATCAAAATATTAGAATCAGTAGATGTAGTTGCTATGCAATATATTATGTACACTGCCCTTTTTTATGAAGGCAATGACTGAACCCTTTTTATGGGTATTTTAAATTTTTTTTTATTTTACTGCCAAGAACCATTTTGAACTGGTGGAAAGCCCTAGGAAAAATAAGCAACCTGAGGGAATTACTGTTTTCTTCCCTTAGGAAGTTGAACTTCTCATTACCCTAGTTAAATCTGAAAAAGGAAGCCTCGGTTTTACAGTAACCAAAGGAAACCAGAGTGTTGGTTGTTTTGTTCATGATGTTGTTCAGGATCCGGCCAAGAGTGATGGCAGGCTTAAACCTGGGGACCGCCTCTTAAAGGTGAGACATTGAAAATCCTTTCTCAACCTGAAGATTCCTTAGATACTAATTAAAGCGTAAACCAAACTATCTTGAATATCAGACACAGGACTTTTCTTAAACTAAGGAAAGAATAAATTTCCTCTATTATCAGAATAATATTTATTGTTACATACTTTATTTTTTTATCACATTAGGTTTATAAATTCCATAGTAAATGGGTATCAATAAATGCAAACCATGCCTTTTTTTTATTTTGTACTAGCTAAAATAGACTATATAGAAGATTAAGAATATAAAAGTATTTCGTTGACAACTTAGCTTTTCTCCTCTGAAATTATAATTCTGCTCTGAACATCTTTCATATTTCAGGTTAATGACACAGATGTCACAAACATGACTCACACAGATGCAGTGAACCTGCTCCGGGCTGCGCCAAAGATGGTGCGGTTGGTGGTTGGCCGGGTTCTAGACGTACCCCGAATGCCAGTGCTGCCTCATTTGCTGCCTGACATTACGCTAACATGCAACAAGGAGGAGCTGGGTAAGTGTGATCTTCAGCTTTATTCCATATAGTTTTCTTGACCAAATGAAGACGAGTTCTCTTGTGACTGAGAAAATAACTGTTTCCTGTGTTTTGAAGGTTTTTCTTTATCTGGAGGCCACAATAGTGTTCATCAAGTGGTCTATATTAGTGATATCAACCCAAGATCAGTTGCAGCCATTGATGGTAATCTCCAGCTACTAGACATCATCCATTATGTGAATGGAGTGAGCACACAAGGAATGACCTTGGAAGATGTTAAGCGAACATTAGACATAGCACTTCCCTCAGTGGTGCTGAAAGCTACAAGGTACTTTGGCAGCTGTGTGTGTGTGGGGGGGTTGTGTGTGTGTGTGTGTGTGTGTGTGTGTAAGTGCGTGTGTATGCATGTGCCAGCCTTTTAGCCTATATGTCGTACTTATGTTCTTTTAAAACATATTCCACAGTAAGGAACTCAGAGGATGAAGTGGCAGGGATTAGTAAAGTTAGAATAAATTACCCAATATCTGATTCTCAGAGCACATTGAGTGGCCAGGTGTTTGCATATATGTTTTCATTTAGTAGAATGATTACATTTGTTATTTAAAGTGCTTTGCCCCAGTGGCACTGTGGTTAAGCGTTGGCTGCCAGCCACTAGGTCAGTGGTTAAAAACCATCAACCACTTCACAGGGGAAAGAAGTAACTGTCTGCTTCCAAAAGACTGCAGCCTGGGAAACACCGTTGAGCAGTTTTGTTTTGTCCTCCAAGGTTGAAGTGGGTTGGAGTCAACAGTATCTGCTCAATTTTTAAGCAGAAAATCCAATTCAAGTTGGTTTAAAAAGCTTGGGATTTGTATGGGACTGAATGAATCCAGAGAGGTGGCCTTCAGGTGACATTTGATCAGGACTCTGTAATATCTTTGCTGATTTCAGTTTCTCCTTCTGTATGTATATCTGCTTTGTCCTCTGGGTGACTTCCTGTTTGATATGTCAGATGACTGTGTCCATTTTCAGGCCTACACATGTATACACAGCCCTCTGAGTAGTTGTCAAACAGAAATTCCACCTGTCACAAAGGTAAGGTGAGTACTGGCCTAGTGGTAAGAACCTGTGCTGACCACCTGAAGGCACACAGTTCAAATCCAACAACTGCTTCATGAGAAAAAGATGCACAGTCTCCTCCCATGTGCTTTACTGTCTTTGTCAAGATCAAGGTAGGGTCAGCTATGAGTAAGTTCCAACTTGATAATATAATAACGTATGCTGATTGTGTCTTCTTGTCAAGAAGACAAAGAATCTCACCACTGGACCAATTGGCAGCATCAGGATGGATGGTGAAGAGATTGAGATTGTACACAGCTTTAGTTTGCTTGGCTCCATAGTCAACAATCTTGGCACCAGCAGCCAGGAAATTAAAAGGTGCATTGCCATGGGAAAGTCTGCTGTTAGGGACCTCTCCAAAGTGCTGAAGAGCAGTGGTGTCTCTCTGGAGAGTAAGGTGCGTCTGATACAGGCCATGGTCTTCGCAATTACCTGTTATGCATCAGAGAGTTGGACAATGACCAAGGAGGATAGAAGGAGAACTGATGCCTTTGAGCTGTGGTGCTGGAGAAGAGTACTGAGAATACCATGGACTGCTAGGAAAACAAATAGATTTGTCCTGCAGAGGGTTAAACCGGGTGGCTCCTTGGAGGCAAGGATTCTGAGGCTCCGTCTAACTTACTACGGACATGTAGTGAGGAGAGACCTGTCCTTGGAGAGGGACATCATGCTTGGGAGGGTGGAGGGACGGCGCAGGAGAGGAAGGCCCTCTATGAGGTGGATTGATTCAGTGACTGGGATAATTGGGATGGGAGTGTCAGAGACAGTGCGATTGGCACAGGACAGAGCGGAGTTTAGGGCTGTTGTACATAGGGTCGCTATGAGTCGCAGGCGACTCGATGGCACATAACAACAACAACATGCTGATTGTACCCAGTCGCTGATTTGAGGCAAAGAAATAAGAATGTATTGATCAGTTGAGGTGTGTTTTGGCCATTTCCCAGAGTTGCTATGTTATGTAGTCTGTGCTACCCAGACGTGTATCTACCACAAATTGTGTAGACCAAGTTATGAGCAAGCATATGTTGTTGTTGTTGTTGTGTGCCGTCAAGTTGGAACTGACCCATAGCTGACCCTCCAGCAGGTTTTCAGAGGCACTTAATTGCACAGAAGATTGCCCGTCCTTCTCTTCCAGAGCAGCTGATGAATTTGAAGTGTGGACTTTCGAGATTGCAATGCAGCTTCTTACCACTAATCCACCAGGGCTATAGACTTATGAAAAGTCTTACATTAGTTGAGAAAAAAAGCTTCTAGTCTTTGGGATTGAATCAATCTGATACTTATGAAGAAATGACAAGCTATGAAACTTTAGAAAGTAAGTCATTGAGAGACTGAGAGTTGTATTGTACAGTGTGAATGGCCCCAGACTTAGGTCTTTAAAGGATGACTTGTTCAGTATACAAGGTAAGCACAGGCTAGCTTGTGCTTACTTATTAATCTGTAATGAACACTTTCACTATATACATCACTTAAAAGTTTCACCTTGTAATAAAATGTGTAGTGACTATTCTTTCCATATCTTGTGGAATTATTGGAGAAAATGTTCACAAATTTAGGCTGTCTAGATTACTGCTACATTATATGAAGGGAACAATATGTATCTGTGATGCATGCTGAGTTTGATATTGTGTATCTCTTAAAATAAGGGAATATAATAACTTAATCTTTTGATAAAAATACATGTCCTTTCTGAAACTTTTAAGTTTGGTTATATGGGTTTTTTATTAAATATAATCCCTGTCCTGATTCCCTTACATATTTCTAAAAATTAGATTGATGAGGACTTTCCTAGATTCTTCTTAATAATTAGTGGGAAAAGAAACTCCAAAAACATCTTGGACAATATGTTTTGTGAAAGTTAATATCTCCACTCAGATGTCCCTGAATATTTTGCATCAGAGTTAGTGGCCATCCTTCACCCTTTCCCTGAAATAACTTCCATATATCTTTTCTTTTCATCTTAATTATATCCATAGAATATTAATAATGGAGCCACAATTACTTTTCTATTCATTCTTCTCCCACTATTCTCTGCCGTTGTATGAATCTGCTTTAAGATCCACAAGGTGGCAGTTATGGAAGGGGAAGGTATTTGTGAGGATGATCTATATGCGAAGAACTGAAGAGTCTGCTAGCTTCTTGTGAGCTAACGAATTAGCTCATTACTCTTTTCTAGAAGAAACATGAGACCCCCTGGAGCAGAAACAAAGGACTTTATTTCTAATGACACAGGAATCATAATAAGCATGTTTATCTCTGCATCCCGTGTTCCCCAAGTCCCACAGAAGTTGCTCACATGGGTCTAATAGATACCTGCACATACAGTGGATTATACTGCATTAGAAGAGCACCAAGCCTGATGAAGTTGCCTATAAGAAGACTGGCTTTTTCAATGTTGGTGGTGTTGTTGTTGAGTGCCGTCAATGGCAACCCTATGAACAAAAAGACCTAAATACTTGTATAACTATCATCATTTCTCCACATTCTTAGAGTTTCCAGAAGCAAGCTATTTTGGAAGTGGATGCTACTCCTGCTTCCAAGCTTGTTTTAATCAGGGAGCTCCACCAAACACTGTCTACCATGGGTAACTATTCTCGCTTTTGACACATCAGTGTCACAGTGTTTAGCATCACAACAACCACGAGTTACCTCTGTACAGCAAATGGACAGACCAGTGCTACACCACTTAGAAGAATGTTTGGCCAAAAACAATTAAAAGCCCGAGAGCCACTGATTAGTCACCCACCTTTGGCTTCGTAGCATAACTTTCTAGCCAGTAGGCCAACAGCATTCTCTCTTGTTGTTGTTGTTGTTGTTAAGTGCCGTTGAGTCATAGATGACTCATATGGAGACTTAATTATTTCATTCCTCAAACCTGCAGTAACACAGCCTTGAAAAATGGCTTTGTATTCTTGGCTACCTAGTAAACATACACAGAGCTCTTGAAAGATTGCTTATCCTAACACTGTACACGTTAGGCAACCTCCTTTTTCCAAGCATCACCAACAATGAGATTACTTAGAAATTTTGTTTCTATAAAGACAAAGTGTTGTACTTTTTAAGCAAGTAGCACACACCTTTCCTGTTTGTCAGCTACACTAGTCTCCAAGAGGTCTATTAAGTCCATTGTACAAATTTTTTTACTACAACAACATGTGGAGTAGGGGGAATCTTGTATACCTATGGGCAAATCTTTGGCTGTTTTCCACTTCAAGTGGTGCTGGTCATATAAGTCTTTAAATACAAATACTTGTTTTTCAGATTTTTACTTTAAATAGTTTAAGAATTTTAAAGAAAACACTTAAAGTGTTTTAAGTATATAAATTATGTCTAAATTATGTTCCACCTATCACTTGCAGTTGGATAATGAATTTTACTAATGTTTAAGGGGGGGAGGTAACTATGGTGATAATGTTGAACTAAAACTCTCTCCAAAAAAGAAATGAAGGATATGTCCCTGTAGAAAATACACGGATTCAGACTTCAGAATTGTGTCTACAATTTCAGGAGGTGTCTGAACACCCTGAGGCCTATCCAAAGAAAACTTCTGGGACTAAATAGTTAACAATAAGACCAAAGGATATTACAGCAAATACCTTTTAAAATTTGCAATTACCTGTTCTCTTTTTACAACACAGAAATGGACATCCAGTAGTTGCCAGTGCAAAGAAGACTTCTGGCTCAAGTCCAAAATTAAACAAGGCCAATGGTAATTATATACTCATTTTAAACACAAATAGTTGTGTAAATGTGACCATTTTTTTTCCTAACATGAAGCTTGGATACTGTCACTAAAAAAATGTTTTTTACTCTTCTTCCGGGATTCAGAATCTCTTTCAGTGGAAAAACTAAATCATATTTAATCATTCTTTCAAATTCAAATGATGGAATACAGTTGAACATGAAACTGGAGTTTATAAGTTCTGTATGACCTTGCAAAGTTAGTTATTCCATATATAAATCTCTATTTCTTATCAAGCAAATAAAGATATTAAAAATAATAATAGTAAAATGTGATTAGTATTTACTTATAACATCATAATGAGACATAAATATAATGATACATAGGCAGCAGTCATCACAGGACTTGTCATGTAAATTTTCATCAAGCACTTACTGAATTTCTGTCCTGCCCCAGATACTGTTCAGGATACAGCAAGGAGCAGGGCACAGTACATACCATATATTGTTGTTGGTGTTAGTTTCCATCAAGTCGAGTATGACTCATAGCTACTCTTATGTACAAAAGACCTAATGCCTTTCCATAACTATTGTCATTTCTCCAAGTTCATAGAGTTTCCAGGGGCATGTGGTTTAGTAAGTGGATGCCACTCCTGCTTCCAAACCTGTTTTACAGATGGGAGCCCCACCAAACACTGCCCATAGAGGGAGACTATTATGGTATTTGATAAAGGCACAAAGTTCACCAGCATCACAGCAAACCCAGGTTACTTCAGTACAGCAAATTGACGAAGTATAATATTCAAAGTAGAAGAATGTTCCTCCAAATACAACAACACTAATTTCACTTAGCAGTCGTTAAGTGTTGTCAAGTCGAATATCACTCATAGTGACCCTATGAACAAAAGACCTGAACTCTGTTCCCTAATTAACATCAAGTCTGTATGATTATAGAGTTTGCAGAGGCATCTAATTTAGAAAGTGGATGTCACTCCTGCTTCCAAACCTTAATCAATATGGAAGCTCCTGCAAACACTGTCCATGATGGGTAACCAGTGTGGTTTTTGACACAACTATACCATAGTGTTCAGCGTCACACAACTGTAACTTACTCAGTACTGCAAATAGACAAACGACTGCTGTACAAATTAAAGAATGTTCAGTCTAAAATTATTAACCAACTAAAATGCGAGAAACCAGGTTCCAGAGTGGAACCACTGCTCAGGAGCTTCTAGACCAGCCACTGACTCAGCCCCTCACTATAGAATTTTAAACCTGCCTTATAGTCTAGCATAAAAATAGAAATGTGTTTTGTGGTTAAACAGAAGCGGCACAGACATTCATTTAATACTTATCCTGGACTAAGCTTTCTTCTAAATTTAATTTTTTTAAAATAAAAAAAGATCACTCGTAACAGTGATTCTGTGAGAAGCTGTTACTTTTGCCACAGTTTTTTATAAAGAAGTAAACTGAGGCATGGTGATGCATTAATAAATAGAGCCAACATCATTTGTGTAATCAGAAGCACAGATGGTGTGATTCCATCTCATATACCTTGGTCATATTATGAGGGAAAGTCCATGGAAAAAGGTATTGTATTGGGAAAAGTAGAGAGTCAGTGAAAAAGAAAAAAGCCCAACATGATGGATTGACCCAGTGACTGCCACAGTGGGGTTGAGAATGGGGGAGATTATGGGGAGCAGGATAGGCCAAGGTTCTGATCTTTTGTTCATAGTATCACTAGAAGTCTCATTTAATAATATTGTCAGTGTTACACTATTATCCACTGCATTGAATATTGCACTAGACTGCTGAGAAACCAAAGCAAAGGAAAGAAATAAAAAAGTTAAGAAGCTGAATAGGATATTTTACAGGGCAGCTTGGGAAGACAAAGCAAAGTTATATAATGAAATGTGAAAAGATCTGGAGTCCAAAAATCAAAAGGGCCAAACCCACTCAGCATTTCTTAAGCTGAAGGACTAAAGAACAAATTCAAGCCTCAAGTTTCAATGTTTAAGGATGCTATGGGCAAAATATTGAATGATCCAAGAAGTATTAAAAGAAGATGAAGGATTATACAGAGAATTGGCTGACACAGAAGAATTTCAAAAAAAAAGCATGTGATTAAGAGGCAATGGAGATGAAGGAGGAAGTGCAGGCTGCTCTGAAGGACTTGGCAAAAAATAAAGTCCCAGAGATTGATGGAATAACAATTGACATATTTCAACAAACAGATGCTGCCCTGGACATGTTCACCAGTTTGTGCCAAGAAATCTGGAGGACAACTACCTGGCCAATTGACTGGAAGAGATCCATATTTTTTCCCATTTCCAAAAAAAGGACTCAACAGAATGTGGAAATTATCATACAATACCACATGCAAGCAAAATCTTGTTGAAGATTATCCAGAAACAACTGGAATAGTACATTAACAGAAATACAAGCTGGATTTAGAAGAAGCCGTGGCATGATAGACAATTATTGCCAATGTCAGATGGATCTTGACAGAAAGTGGAGAGTACCAGAGGGATATCTCTATCAGTGTTTCATTGACAGTGCAATGGCATTTGACTGTGTGGATCACAACAAATTGTGGCTAACCTTAAGGAAACTGAGAATCCCAGAACAATTTATTGTTCTCATGTGAAACATCCACTTAAACCAGGAAGCAGTCCTCAGAACAGAGCAAGAGAACACTGCATGGTTCAAAATCAATACGGAATTGTGTCAGGGATGCTTCCTGTCTCCTATACCTTTTCAATCTTATATGTGGAACAGATCCTTCAGTAAGCTGGGCTTTGAAAGGAAGAAGTGACATCAGGATTGGAGGAAGACTCAACAACCAGCATTATGCAGTTGACACAATTTTGCTTGCTGAAACTGAGGTGGACCTGAAGCTCTTGCTGCAGAAGATCAAGGACTGTAAACTTCAATAAGAATTAAAGCTCAATATCAAGAAGACAAAGATTCTCACCAGTGGCAGTGGGCCAATTGGCAGCACCATGATGGATGGAGAAGAGAGCGAGGTTGTCAACACATAGAGCTTGCTCCACAATCAACACTCTTGGCAATAGCAGTCAGGAAATAAACAAATTGCATTAGGTAAGTCTGCTGTCAGGAGCCTCTCCAGAGTACTGAGAAGCAACGATGTCAGTCTGGAGACTAAGGTGTGCCTGATCCAGGCCATGGTCTCCACAACTACTTGCTATGCATCAAAGAGATGGGCATAGACTAAGGATGACAGAAGAAATAATGCCTTTGAATTGTGGTACTGGAGAGGAGTCTTGAACATATCATGGACTGCCAAGAAAACAAATAAGTCTGTCTTGGAGAGAGTGAAACAAAATTTCTTCTTAGAGGCTAGCATTTTAAAGCTCCATCTCACATACTTTGAGCACGTAACCAGGAGAGACTGACTATGACTAGTCCTTAGAGAAGGACATATATATTCTCAGAAGGATAGAGGGACAGCGTAGGAGAGGAAGACTCCAGGTGAGATGGACTGACACAGTAACTGGGGTAACAGGGATATGTGTGTCAGAGTTAGTGAGACTGGCTAAGGACAGGGCAGGCTTCAGATCAGGTGACTCAGCAACACCTAACAACACTCAAGATGGATTGACACAGTGGCTTAACAATGGGTTCAAGTACATCAGAGATTGTGAGACTGACACAGGATAAGGCAAATTTTAGATCTGTTCATGGGGTCACTATAAGGCGTAGTCAACTAGCTGGCAACTAACTTCAGTGACATTTTCTTTTAAGAAATTATTTCTCCATCCTACCATTGGCATAAACCTCTATCTAGTATTTTATTCCATTTACTTAGTCTTATATTATTTTCTAACATTTCTTCTAATGTACAAATAAAAATAACATCCACAGAAATGTGTTCTTTTCCCCATGATTTTAGTGTCTTTATTTTTTTCTTTTAACTGGCTCATCCCCTCCTTTTTATGTTATTCTTCTCAGGTCATCACTCTGTGGAGCCATGTGGCAAGCCTGCTGTAACTCCCAGTCATTCTTTCTCCAAGGTAAATAAAAGCTTGACTTCTTTCATATCATCATGCACTAAAATAACCATTTGTTTGAGCCTTAGACCAAATTGATTTTCTATTCAAGTATTTGTCTTTAGACTCATATAGTGATCAGTAAAGGAATGTTATAGTGAAAGAATAGCTGTGGTAAGTGAAGGAATGCATAGTAAAGCCCACCTCACAGAACCCTACATTATGTGACATACCTAAGGCTTACTACTTACATAGAAAGCTTGAGAGCCTAGTGGTAAGGAGTTACGCTGCCAACCTGAAGGCACGCAGTTCAAATCTACCAACTACGACAAGGGGAAAAGGTGAGCAATCTACTCCACGCAATTTACAGCCTCTGAAAACCCACTGTCAGCTGTCAGTTCCATCTCAAAAGCACACACACAACAGCAACAACAAACTCCTTAAATTGACCATTTTAGTACTGAGAATTTTTTAAATTTTTTTATATACAGACTTAACTTCTTATACTAAAGGAAGAGAATAAGAATGTAATTAACTATAGAATTTGCTCCTCTGGTAAATGTGGTGATGCCTTAACAATTTTAATGAATAACTTCTTTCTCTTTAAGGCCAAACATATGCCCCTTGTTTAGCTAACACTTCCTTTTAGTGTTTCCTCCTGGCATGTAATAGTCATTTCTGAAAAGATCACAGCTGGATTTGCATTTCACAAAATTATATTATCCCTCATAGAGCTCATATGTTCTATGCTGAACTCCCTATCTGAATTTCTTTCAATGTAAACTATAGCTCCCAGGACTTTGTATCCCCAGCATCTGTGATTGCTGTTGTCTCAATAGATTTCTGGACATGTTTTCCTCAGTATAGGAGGGAAAATGAATTTTATGGCCAAAAGCCCAAGGTTCTACAACTTTCGTCTCACTGATTTTTCTCACATTTGTGTCTTGATTTACCAAGTCCTGACAAAATATTGTCGCAGAAGCACTATAAGGCAGAAATTAGAATCCAAAAATAAAAATGCCGTCGTATTTGTATTATGTGGATTGAAATACAACAGTATTCCATTCTTTGTTTACTCAGGTCTTCAATTTCACATTGCAGAAGCATCTGCATTTTCATGTATTTCTAGAATTAGTCATGCTGTGTTTTATTTTCTTTTAAAATATTAGCATATTAGCATACTGTTTAGAGAAGGGTAGTGTTTCTTTTAAATTACCATAAACCCCTAGAAACCAGGATTTCATTGCTGTTTATAGCTGCCAAGTTTTTTGCTGGAAAATTTTTTGGAAAAAGTTAGTCTTTCAGGTGATATTCTGGCCTTGAATGCTAGTGCCTGTACTGTGAATTTCTCATAAAGACTGGAGTTTTGCAATCAAGCAAAACTTTTGACATCATTATATAACCACTATTTATAAGGAATAAGGTACACCTGACCCAAGCCAAGGTAGTTCCACTTGCCTCATATGCATTTGAAATCTAGACGATGAATAAGAAAGACAGAAGAACTGATGCACTTGAAGTATGGTATTATAAAAAAATATTAAATATGTCATGGACTGCAAGAATACCAAACAGACCTGCCTTGGAAAATGTACAGGCAGAATGCTGCTTAGATGAGAACATGGCTAGATTTTTTTTCTCACATACTTTAGACATGTTATAAGAGGACAGTCCCTGGAGAAGGACATCATGATTGATAAAGTTAAGGTTAACAAAAAAGAAAATACCTTGGGGCTATGTGCTCTGGTAGCCCAGTGGTAAAAACTACACTGCAATCCCAAAGGCACGCAGTTAGAATCCCCCAGCTGAAGAAACATGGGCAGTCTCCTCCTCTGAAGACCCACCAGAGGGTCAGCTGTGGATCTGTTCCTACTTGATGCTAAACAACAGTAGGAGATGTACTAACAGACTGTATCAGTGGGTCCAAACATAGGAAGGTCTGTGAAGATGTCACTCACTGGTCCTCACACTGTTTGTTCCATTGTCCATAGGGTTACTGTGAGTCACAACTGACTTGAGGGCATTTAACAATAATTAATGTAACACGTACTTACGTTGACATAATGACATTTCATGTACTGTGTAATTATTTTAATAACATGAGTTATTAAGTTTTATTTTAATAACAAGATGTTCAGAGTAAAACGCAATGTTTTCTTTGTGTAAAAAGCTAATTCTAATAATTTCATCTTCCCCCTAGCGATTTTCCATCAGCTATGTTCCATGGAATAATTCACAATTTACCATTTCATTAGAATGTTAGGATCTACCAATAATGATTTTACAGTTAAACTTCCACTATTCTGTTATTAAAATAAAATTTAAAATGGGTTTTAAAATCTAATTAACAAATTCAGGCTCTTTCATTGGAGTCTATGTCTATATAACTGCTTCACTAAAGCTTTCTCTTTTGTTCTTTCATTTCCCTTTAGCCTCTAATCTTTAGTAGCTCTATTAATCTTGCATGAAAAGTTCTGTGAAGGCACATCTCACAAAATATGCCTCAAAAAAAATTTCTGTAGTCAGATAAGTTTAAGAATTGCTATAATAGAGTTCTCTTTTGCCTTTTCAGAATTAATAAGGATTGTGAGAATTCCTAAATAATAGTATTGACAATGTTTACACAGAGCTTTCAAACTTATTTAACACTGAAAACATTCATTCCTTTTTTTTTTTGCATATTTCATTGCACCAGTATGTGAAAAAGAAATACTGCTCTCATGTGGGAAATCGCAAGTGGACCATCAGTTTATTCCTTTTCCCTGTGATCACTGATTTTTTAGATAATAGCCATTATCTTTAGATAATCTGAGTCGCATGAACAAGTTTCTTCACTGAAGTTTAAAATTCCTTATCTGTAAAACTGAGATGGTCATATGTATTCTGCCTGTTTCGCGGAATTTTTGTGAAGGTTAAAGTTAAGAGCATACACAAGGAGTTCTGGGAATACACTGGCTAAGCCCTTAGCTGATATCTGAAAGATTGTTGGCTGCAGCCCACCAAGTAACTCCACTGTAGTAAATACCTCATGGTCTGCTCCTTAAAGATCTAGAAGACCCTACAGAAAAGTTCTATTCTGTTACATGGGTGACTGTGAGTCAAAAACCAATTCAGCAGCACATTGCAACAGTATGAGTGAAACTGCTTTGAAATCTTCCATTTTTGGAAATACTTAAACTATGATGTTGTTATGTGATGTTGAGTCTTCTGTGACTCAGAAACCCTGTATACAACAGCTCTGAACCCTGCCCTATCCAGTCTCACTTCTCCAACTCACCTACTCCTGTTACCCTAGGTACTGTGTCCATCTATCTCATCGTGTCGTCTCCTGTGCTATACCTCCACCCTTCTGAGCATGATGTCCTTCTCCAAGGACTGGTCTTTGGCCACATGCCCAAAGCATGTAAGATGGAAATTTAAAATCCTAGACTCCAAGAGAAACTTGGTTTCACTCTAAGACAGACCAATTTGTTTTCTTGGTGGTCAATGGTATAGTTACTACTCTTCTCCAGCACCACAACTCAAAGGCATCAATTCTTCTGTCATCCTTAGTCATTGTCCAGCTTTGATGCATGGCAAGTAATTGTGAAGACCATAGACTGGATCATGAACACTTTAGTCTCTAGACTGACATCATTGCATCTCAGTACTCTGGAGAGGACTTTGCCCAGTACAGTTTGTCTTTTGATTTCCTGACTGCTGATGTCAAGAGTGTTAATTGTAGACCTGAGCAAGCTGAAATTGTTAACAACCTCAGTCTCTTCTCCATCTGTCATAGTGGTGCCAGTTAGTGGGAATCACTGTCTTCTTGATGGTGAGCTTCAGTCCTTATTGAAAACTACAGTCCTTGACTTTCTGCAGCAAGTGCTTCAGGTCCTCCTCAGATTGAGCAAGCAAGGTTGTGTCATCTGCATACCGCAGGTTGTTGAGGAGTCCTACTCCAATCCTGATGCCACATTCCTCCTCATAAAGCCCAGCCTTCTGAATGATCTGTTCCACAGATAGCTTGAAAAGGTATGAAGACAGGACACATCTCTGATACATTCCTTTCCTGATTTTGAACCAAACAGTGTTCTCTTGCTCTGTTCTGAAGACGGCTTCCTGGTCCAAGTAGAGGTTTCACATAAGCACAATCAAGTATTCTCTCTGGGATTTTCCCATTCTCCTCAAGGTTACCCACAGCTTGCTGTGATCCACAGTCAAATGCCTTTGCATAGTCAATGAAACACAGATAGACATTCCTCTGATACTCTGCTTTCAGCAAATATCCATCTGACACTGGTGATAATGTCTCTAGTGCCATGACCTCTTCTAAACCCAGTTCATATTTCTGGTAATTCTCTGTCAATGTACTGTTTCACTTGTTTTTTAATAATCTTAAGCAGAATTTTGCTTGTATTTGAATATTAGTGATATTGTATGATAATTTCCATTCCTTTTTTTGGAATGGGAATAAATACGGCTCTCTTCCAGGTAGTTCTCCTCCAGATTTCTTGGCACAACCTGGTGAGCACATATAGGGTTGCATCTATTTGTTGAAATATGTCAATTGATATCCCATCAATTCCTGGGGCTTTGTTGTTTTTGTCAGTTCCTTCAGAGCAGCTTGAACTTCTCCTTCATCACCATTGTTTCTTGATCATATATTGTTTCTTGAAATTCTTCTGTGTCAACCAATTCTTTTTGATACAGTGACTCTGAATACTCCTTCCGTCTTCTTTTAATACTTCCTGGGTCATTCGGTGTTCTGCCCATAACATCTTTAAGTATTGCAGCTTGTGGCCTGAATTTGTTCTTTAGTTCCTTCAGCTTGAAAAATGCTGAGCTAAGTACTTCAAATCTCTTGATTTTCAGACTCCAGCTCTTTTCACATTTCATTATAATACTTTGCTGTGTCTTCCCAAGCTGCCCTTTGAAATCTTCAATTAAGTTCCTTAACGTCTTACTTTTTTCCCTTTGCTTTGTCTTCTTGGCACTCTAGTACAATAGTCAGAGTCTCGTCTAACATCCATCTTGGTTCGTTCTTCCTCCTCTGTCTTTGTAATGACCTTTTGCATTCTTCCTGAACGATACTCTTGATAGCCTCCCACAGCTCATTTGGTCTTCACTCACTGGTGTTCAGGGACTCAAGCCTGTTCCTGAGATGGTTTTTAAATTTAGGTGGGATAGACTCAAGGTCAAATATTGATTCCTGTGTATTTGATTTAACCTTCCTTACCTTTCATTTGAGCTTGCATATAAGTAGTTGACGGTCTGTTCCACAATCGGCACCTGGCCTTGTTTTATGCTGATATTGAGCTTCGTCCAACAGTTCTTTCCACAGATGTAATTGATCTGACTCCTGTGCATACTGTCAGGTGAAATCCATGTGTTTAGTCTGTGTATGGTTCTTATAAAAAGTATTTGCAAAGAATAAACAGCTATACACTGTAAAATTTTTATTGTAAGATACCTTGCAAGACCCTTTCTATGAAGATAGCACCAAAAGTGAAGAGGAATACCCCTGCCCTCCCAAAACTGAGGCCAAAATAAAGGCCAAGAATCTATCCTGAAGGGCATCCATGGCCACAAAAAAAAAGAAAGGAAAGAAAAGAGAAGATCCACATGTCACTCACCTTCTAGTAGTCTAAGATGCTGAGATTCAGAAGGCAACCTAAATGCCCCCAGAAAATCACCCCCAGGAGAAACAAGCTTGACCATCATCAAGTTTCCCCTGACAACTGAGTAAGCCAGGAAGATGTAGATAACACATTTGTGTTCGTTGTGGATGTTTAGGCCAAAAAGCAATAGCTCAAACAAGCTATAAAGAAGTTCTGTGATAATGATGTGCCTAACATCAAAACCTTGACTAGGCCTGATGGAGAGAAGAAGGCCTATGTTTGACTTGCCTCTAACTATGATGCTTTGGAGGTTGCCAATAAAATTGAGATCAACTAAACTGAATTCAGCTGGCTAATTCTAAATGTAAATTTTTCTCACAAAAGAATACATAGATACTTTACAACTTGGCAAAATGTTATGCTTGCTACAGAAAATCAAAGACTATATAGCCTTCAATATGAATTGTATCTCAACACCAAGACAAAAATCCTTAACTGTGGGACCAATAAGCAGATTCATGATAGATGGAGAAATGATTGAAATTGTCAACAGTTTCATTTTAGTTGGGTCCACAATCAACACCCTTCGTACTAGCAGCCAGGAGGTGAGGAGACATATTGCACAGGGCAAATCACTGTCAGGGACCTCTCCAAATTACTGAAGAGATCAGGTTGAAGATTAAGGTGATTCTGAGTTCATGTCATGGTCTTTTCAATCACTTGCTATATGTTTGAGACAGGACAATGACAGAAGTAGAATTGATGCCTTTGAGTTGTTTTGCTGGAGAAGAGTGTGGAATATTCCATTCTATAAAAGAATAAATAGCTATATCTTGGAAAAAGTGCATCCAGAGTGCTCTTTAGAGACAAGAATGGTGATGTTTCATCTTATATGCTTTGGGTGTGTTGCTAGGAGAGGCTGTTCCTTGGAGAGAGACGTCACACTTGGGAAGAGTGGAGGTTTGGTGAAAGAGAGGAAAACCTTAAGCCAGATGGATTGACAAAGTGACTGCAATGGCTCAAGTATGTCTGAGATTATGAGGTGGCACAGGTTAGAACAGGGTTCAGATCTCTTGTTCATAGGAGCAGTATCAGTCATACTCGGTGGCACTTCCAACAACAGCAACAACACCAGATTATTCTGTTTCTTTTACAAGTAGTTGTGTCCAAATGAAAGAAAGATTAGTTGAAATTCATTCTGCGGTTAATCCTTATAATACAAAAGTTAATGTTGATGTGAAATGCTTATAACCATTTACTCAGATGCTAACTAGTTTGAAATGTGTCAGTACCTAATTTATTAAATTACTTAATTGTTTGGCAGACGTGCAACTTCAAGTTTGACTTTATCTTTAAATCTTTGATCTTATTAAGAATGATCCTAATGTTATAGTTACATTTAAACATCTCCTAAATAGATTTTATCTCATTTGATATTTTATCATTGTATAAAATCGACTTATTTTCATGTGATAGAGGGTCCTGATGAAAACTTCTAAGGATAAGTGTTGTCATTGAAGGAAAAAACTATCTCAGAAGTTGTATTGAAACTGTTTTTAATGTACCATCAAGTTGACTGTCATTCATAACAACTCTAAGAACAGTAGATCTGGACTTTGCCCTAGTCTGTGCCAACTTCATCATCTCAGACACACTTGATTGACTACTGTTTTGTTGTCTGGTTATTTGTTGGTTGTTGTTTTTGTTTTTGTTTGTTTTTTTCTTCTTTTATTGAGTCGGATCTGACGGGCACAGGAGGAGATTGCCCCTTCTTCTCCAGCAGAGCATCTGGTGCATTCAAACTGTGTGCCTTTGAGATTGCAGCACAGCCTCTTGCCATTAGACCACCAGAGCTCCCTGGAACTACTGTTAATGTGTCATTCCATCTTGTTGAGGGTCTTCCTCTTTTATGCTGCCCTTTTACTTTTCCAAGCATGATGTCCTTCTCCACAGACTACATGCCCAAAGTATGCGAGATGGGGTTTTGCCATCCTCATCTCCAGAAATCACACTAGTTTTACTTTTTCCAGGATAGACTTGTTTGTTCTCTTGGTATTCCATGGGTTCTTCTCCAGCACCACAACTCAAAGGCATTAATTATTCTTCTATCATTCTTAGTCATTGTCCGGCTTTCAGATGCTTAGCAAGTAATTGTAAAGATCAGATTTTACTTTATTTATTTCCGTACCATGTACTTTGTATATTTATTTATGATAAAGTCTGGCTGCAATTAAAAAATGTTAAAGTGCTGCTTCTCTCCTATGTATTTTTGAAAAATGGAGACAGATCATTCAGAATTGGTTTATTAGCTCTGTAGTCCTCAAAAGCCCAAGTTTCTCCTAATAAATACATTCTTCATCATCCCCCAATGAAGTTCTGGTGTCTAGTCCACAGGACTGTGTCACTAACCCAAAGCCCCCCATGGTGTTTCAAATCCTCCAGCATCTCTGCAGGAGAAAGATGAGAAATCTCCCGTGCCATTTATAGCCTTAGTAACCCGATTGAAGGTTAACTGTGAGCTAATTCCAACTCAACAGCAATGAGTTTGGGGGTTTTGTATGTTTATTTATTTTTATCAGCCCTAGAATTCCACTCTCCTGGTCACGGTCAAGAAGGCTGCTAAAACTCTAGCCATCACATCTATATTGGAAGAAGAAAATAGGAGGGTGTGATATCATGTGTCACCTCCTTTTAGTTACACTTCCCATAAATCCATGTATTTTAACTTAAATCTCATTGCCTAACTTTCATTAAATGGTGACTTCTAGCTGCAAAAGAATCAGAGAAATATTCCCAATATTCTGAGCAGTCATGTGCCCAACTAAAAATCCAGGGTGTTTATACTAAAGAAAATGAGGCAAATGACAAGGATAAGCAATGTACAGTCCTTGCTAACCCTAGAGGTGGTTGTTGTTGTTGTTATTGTTGTTATGTGCCGTCGAGTCACTTGCGACTCATAGCGACCCTATGTACAACAGCCCTAAACCCTGCTCTATGCTGTGCCAATCGCAATGCCTCCAACACACTGATCCCGATTACCCCAGTCACTGAATCAATCCACCTCATAGAGGTTCTTCCCCTCCTGTGCTGCCCCTCCACCCTCCCAAGCATGATGTCCCTCTCCAAGGACCTGTCCCTCCTTACAACATGTCCAAAGTATGTCAGAAGAAGCCCCAGAATCCTTGCCTCCAAGGAGCAGCTTGGTTTAACCCTCTCTAGGATGAATCTGTTTGTTTTCTTGGCAGTCAACACTCTTCTCCAGTATCACAGCTCAAAGGCATCAATTCTATTTCTGTTCTCCCTAGTCATTGTCCAACTCTCTGATGCATAACAATTGATTGCAAAGACCATGGCCTGTATCAGACGCACCTTAGTCTCCAGAGTGACAACATTGCTCTTCAGTACCCTGGAGAGGTCCCTAAAAGAAGACTTTCCCATCGCAATACAATTTTTTATCCTGGCCACTGGTGCCAAAAGTGTTGACTGTGGAGCCAAGCAGATTAAAGTTGTTAACAATCTCAATCTCGTCACCATCCATCCTGATGCTGCCAGTTGGTCCAGTGGTGAGAATCTTTGTGTTCTTGACATTGAGCCTCAATCCATACTGAAGGCTATAGTTCTCGTAGCAAGCATTTCAGGTCCTCCTCAGTTTCAGCAAGCAGGGTTGTGTCATCTACAAATCCTAGAGGTCAGTATAACACTAAACTAATAACTTGCTTTGTTTTTCTTTTTCAGGTAAATGGGGAAAGAATAATTGAAGGGAAATGTTCCATTTACCAAATGGAAGAATCAATAAACTTGACTTTGTCCAAAACTAGTTTTCCAAGTCAGTCATATAGTTGCTCTAAATGCACTAATAATGCAGGTAAGGAAAAAATACCAGATGAACCCTTACATTTGTCTTGCATGTTACTATAGCTTTAAAAAGAAAGATTAACATTAAAAAGAAAAGAACAGTGTTAAAAGTAATATTGTTAATTACTACATTCTTATTTCAAAGAACAAATCTCTTTCTAAATAATTGGGAAGATATTTGTTTTCTTTACTAGTGTTTCTTATACTCTGGGAAACAGCAATACATTGGCTACGTAATGGTTTAGAAAATTTCTCTTAGGAATATTGTAGTTATTTTATGCTTGATCCCTGTAATATAACTTTTTCTATCTGTTTCTTTAATTAATCTGAGGCTAATTTTTTCCTTTTTTTAAAACTTTTTATTATTAATTTTAATGAAAATTTACAGAGACTTTGGATTTCCATTCATTCATTGTTGCACTTTTCTCCTTGCCCACCCCTCCCCCCCATTCGCTCTTCTCTTTTAAAAGTAAAAGAAAAATTATTTCATTGTTACACAAGAGACTGATTTTTAAAAATAGTCATTGGATTATTAATATTTCAATAAAATATGTATTATTAGACATATTGGTATATAGGTAATCATAGATATGTACCTGCGGGAAACTATTTACTGACTATACAAAGACATTTGGTTGTGTGGATTATAACAAATTATGGCTAACATTAAGAAGAATGGGAATACCAGAATACTCATCACACTCATATGAATTCTGTACTTATACCATGAAGCTTTTGTCCAAATAGAGCAAGGAAACAAAGCATGGTTTAAAATCTGGAAGCGTGTGTGCCAGGGATGTATCCTTTCTTCATAGATATTAGGTCTGAATGCTGAGTGAATAATTCATGAAGCTGGACTCTATTAAAAGGATTTGGGCATCAGGATCAAAGGAAGACTCATCAGCAACCTGCATTATGCAGATAACACAACCTTGCTTGCTTAAAGTGAGGAGGACTTGAAATGCTTGCTACAAAAGATCAAAGAACAGAATTTAGAATATGGATTAAATCTCAACATCAAAAGGACAAAGATCCTTACCACTGGACCAATAGATACCATCTTGATAGAGGGAGAAAAGATTGAAATTACTGATGATTTTATCTTTTTTGGATCAATAATCCAAGATTCAACCCTTGATTCCAGCAGTCAGGCGATCAGGAGATGTAATGCATTGGGCAATTTCTGTCAAAGATCTCTCCAAAATGGTGAAGAGCAATGATGTCAGTTTGAAGACTAAAGTTAACCTGATTCAGACCATGGACTTTTCATTCACTTACTAAGAATCTGAGAGTTGGACATTGAATAAGGAATACAGAGGAAGAATTGATACATTTGAGCTATGGTGTTGAAGCATCCCATGAACTGTCAAAAGAACGAACAGGTATGTCTTGGAAGAAAGTGCAGCCAGAGTGCTCCTTGGAGGCAAAGATGACAAAACTTTGTCTCTCATACTTTGGACATGTTGCTAAGAGAGACGTTCCTTGGAAAGGAACATCATGCTTAAAGTGGAAGTAGTAGTAGTTGTTGTTGTTATGTGCTGTTGAGTGGCCTGCAACTCATAGTGACCCTGTGTACAACAGCCCTAAACCCTTCCCTATCCCGTTCCAATCTCCAACACACCTATCCCTGTTACCCCAGTCACTGAATCAGTCCACCTCATTGGGGGCTTTCCTCTCCTGTGCTGTCCCTCCACCCTCCCAAGAGTCCCTCTCCAAGGACTGATTACGCCTTACAACATGTCCAAAGTATGTCAGACGAAGCTTCAGAATCCTTTCCTCCAAGGAGCAGCCTGACTTCACACTCTCCAGGACAAATCTGTTTGTTCTCCTAGCAGTCTATGGTATATTCAATACTCTTCTCCAGCACCACAGCTCAAAGGCTGTGGAAAGGAAATCAATTTTCCTTCTATCATCCATATTGTCCAGCTTTCTAATGCATGCAAAGACCATGGCCTGTATCAGGTGCACCTTAGTCTGCAGACTGACATCTTTGCTCTTTGGTACTTTGGAGAGGTCTCTGACAGCAGACTTTCCCAGTGCAATTCATCTTTTCATTTCCTGGCTGCTGGTACCAAGAGTGTTGAATGTAGAGTCAAGCAAACTGAAGCTGTCAACAATCTCAATCTCTTCACCATCTATCATGATGCTGCTATAGTTGGCCCAGTGGTGAAAATCTTTGTTTTCTTGATGTTGAGCTTCAATCCATATTAAAGGATGCAGTCCTTGAACTTCTGCAGCAAGCACTACAGATGCTCCTTGGTTTCAGCGAGCAGGGTTGTGTCATCTGCATAACTCAGATTGTTGATGAGTCTACCTCCAATCCTGATGCCACACTTCTCCTCATAGAGCCCAGCCTGCTGAATAATCTCTTCTACATATAGGTTGAAAATATATGGAGATAGGACACATGCTTGGCACATACCCTTCCCTGTTTGAACCATGTAGTGTTTCCTTGCTCTGTTTTGATGACTGCCTACTGGTCCAAGTATAGGTTTCACATAAGCACAATCAAGTATTCTGGGATTCCCATTCTTCTCAGAGTCAGCCACAGTTTGTTGTGATCTACACAGTCAAATGCCTTTGCATAGTCAATGAAACACAGATAGGCATTGCTCTGGTACTCTTTGATTTCTGCCAAGATCCATCTGACATTAGCTATAATATCTCTAGTACCATGGCCTCTTCTAAATCCAGCCTGTACTTCAGGCAGTTCTATATTGGAGAGGTAGAGGGTCAACAGAAGAAAGGAAGACACTCAATGAGATGGATGGACACAGTGACTGCAGCATCAGGCTAAAATGTGTCAGAGATTATGAGAATGGCACAGAGTAGGACAGGGTTCATGTCTGTTGTTCATAGGGTCACTATTAATTATACTCTACTTGCCAGCACCTAGCAACAACAATAACACACAACACCTATGTGAGAATGTTGTTGTTGTGCACCATAGAGTTGAAACCAACCCATAGCTGACCCTCCAGCTGGCTTTCAGAGGCAGTTAATTGCATGGGAGATTGCCCGTCCTTCTCACGCAGGGCATCTACCTGGTGCCCTCAAACTCCGTGCCTTTGGAATTGCAGTGCAGCTTCTAGTACAAATATGTTAGTACACATATATGTACTCACTAAAGATACAAATACTCTTCAGACCTAACTAAACACCTTCCAAAGTTGGTTTTCTCAATTTGAAAGTTTAAGACCAGAGTTACATGGACCTACCCAGTTCATTGACATGATGTCGTTTACAAAACTGATGATCTGCATGTTAGTGAAATGAGTATCGCCTGGAGTCTGACATACTTTGGGCATGTTGCAAGGAGGGACTGGTCCTTGGAGAGGGACATCATGTTTGGGAGAGTGGAGGGACAGCGCAGGAGAGGAAGACCCTCAATGAGATGGATCAATTATATGAGTGAAGTGGTGGAATGAGTGTGTTTGAGACAGCAAGGTTGGCACAGGATAGAAGGGCGTTTAGGGCTCTTGTACATAGGTTCACTATGAGTTGCAAATGACTTGATGACACATAACAACAACAACAAAGAAAATGGAGGGGGTGTGGGGGGAGGAGAGAAATTATGCAACAATGAAAGAATTTTTTTTAAGAGTTCAGGATTTTTTATTGGACATGTTACAAAAGGAGTTTAGTAAAAAGACCAAATCGCATGTCATCATCAGACTCCAGATTCTTCTTTCTTTGCTTCCACTTTTTTCTCCTCAGCTGGAGCAGGGGGAGGGGAGGTCGGGGAGTGCAGGTCCTCCAGTTGGTGCGGCCCAGGCCTCTGGGGCAGGTCCACCAGCGCCCACATTGCAGATGAGGCTCACAATGTTGACATTTGCCAGGGCCTTTGCAAACAGGCCAGGCCAGAAAGGTTCAATGTTGACTTCTGCTGCCTTAATGAGGGCTTTGATTTTATCCTTCGTGACTGTCACCTCATCGTCATGCAGGATGAGGGCCGAGTAGTTGCAGGCGAGCTCAGAGACGGAGGCCATGGTGCAGTGATACTAGGCTGAAGGCTGCTGGACGTGGTGTTAGTCACCGGATGAAGTGAGGGCCTCACCCCAATGCGGCCTTAGCTTCCTCGGAAGGACCGAGCACCTTAGCGGCAACTAAAGAAAGGGCTGAAAGAATTTTTTTAAAGAGATAAGCAAACTGGGAGGGGGAGGAAAATATGCAACAATGAATGAATGGAAATCCAAGTTTCCTGTAAACAGTGAATGAATGGAAATCCAAGTTTCCTGTAAACGTTCATTAAAATGTCCATTTAAAGAGAACTGAAAAGAAGAAGAAGGGAAAACAAAATAAAGTTGAAAATATAACGGGGCAGGGAAGCTAGAGTACTGGAAAGAGAACGAACTGCACATAATTAGAGATAACACTATGATAGCATCATCAAGTAAATGGGCGCCTAACTTGGTATATGAACTTTAACCACGAATTCGGTAAAATAATATGGGAAAATGAAAAGAAAGATAAGTAGCACCAATTTTTATTTACTCTTTACAAGCTACTGTTAGACTGTGTTGCCTTTAATTTTAGCAGCAAACTAGTTATTGAATTACTCATTTTTTAAAAAAGACTTGGACTTACTAATATAAACAGCTTTTCCACCATGGCTGCTTTTCAAGGTATAATTACCCCACTGCCATTAAGCTGGTTTTAACTCCTTGCGGTCCAGTAGAACTCCCCTATAAGATTTCCCAAGATGTGAATCAAGAGGCAGCACCCCTCTTTTTGAAAGAGATTTGAAATTACCAGTGATTCTGCAGGAAATAAAAAGGGACAGTCTAATCCTTTTAAGATGCTGTTGTGTACCTTCAAGTCAGAATCAGCCCATAGCTGACCCTCCAGCAGGTTTTCAGAGGCATAAATCACACGGGAGGAGATTGCCCATCTTTCTCCCACAAAGCATCTGGTCCATTTGAACTGTGTACCTTTAGATTGCCAGTGCATCTCTTTACCACTAGGCCACCAGAGCTCCCTTATCAAGATGCACAGGCTCAAAACCGCTGTGGAAGGTCGTTGTGCCTCAGAATCAGCTCAGTGGCAGGCGGTTTGAGTTTTTGAGTGTGAATTATTATAGACACAGGGAGTACTACATCTCTCCTGCTGAGTTGCTCAGGAGTTAATGATTTCAAGTCTTTAACCACTCTGCCACCAGGGCTCCCTCCTTTTTAAAGCAAGATGCCTACAGTGTGAGGAGACCTAGCATATTCTGCTTGACAATCGTGTCTCTTGCACATATGAACACTTTTAAAGTAAAATCCCATGTACGTTATTTTTTTAAGAACCTGAAGTACACGAAGATGATATTTATGATGATCCTCAAGAAGCTGAAGTGATCCAGTCTCTGCTGGACGTGGTGGATGAAGAGGCGCAGAATCTTTTAAACCAAAATCATGCAGCAGAAGATGCCTCAGTTCCAGGTAGGAGAGGGCTGGGAATGCTAAGTGGGTATACTAAGAAAAACCATGACGTCTCTAGAGAACATTTTGGAGCAAATATAAAGTGTATTAGTGACTTTCTCTGTTCCTCATTGTTGTTATATTGTTGTTATGGGAACCAACCCATAGCTGACCCTCTTGCAGGTTTTCAAAAGGCAGTAAATCACACACACAGGAGAGGATTCCTCATCTTTCTCCAGCAGAGCAGATGGTGGATTTAAACCACATACCTTCCAGTTGGCAGCCCAGCTCCTTACCACTAGGCCAGGCCACCAAAGCTCCTTTGTTCTTCATTGGTTGGTAATAAATGCCAAGTTTTTTATTTCATTTCTTATTTTCTAAAAAGGACATCCTAGATTTATGCCTTGGGCATTTCCACGGTGATGAATTTTGGCAGAAGCAGACTCCACATCGTTCTTCTTAGGAGCACCTGTGGGTTCAGAGATCTCGGTTTTTTTATTAGCAGCTGAATGCCTTCACCACAGTGCAGTTATTACTGTTGCTGTCTACTGTCAAATTAGAATTATCCCATAGCTGACCCTCCAGCAGGTTTTCAGAATAAATCACAGATTGTCCAGCTTTCTCCCATGGAGCAGCTGGTGAATTCGAACCACATGTTTTTCGGTTTACAGTGTAACTCTTTACTACTTAGTCACCACACTGTGCCACTAGTGGTCCTTAATTATGAGTGGGTCGCCCTATTATTCGCACGTCAGTGTGTCACTAATATCAGGCCTAACTTTTAAAAGTTTTGTACTAAATATTTTCCCTCAGTTGATACTGAGCAGTACTTGAAACAATCCTTTTCATGGATAAATTCATAGACATTTGTTGCTCAAATATATATATAAAAGAAATGTGTTTCTCATGCCTTTTATTTCTACTTTTTATTAATTAGAACATTGGAACTCTTTTTAAATATTTGTCCTTACTTAGGAGATAAACGAAAAAAATTTTCCTACTGACTTCGTTCTAGTTATTATGTGCCTTTGAGTCAGATCCAACCCATAGTTGACCCTCCTAGCAGATTTTTGGAGGGTGTAAATCACATAGGAGGAAGTTATCCATCTTTCTTCCACAGAACAGCTAGTGAATTTGAACGACATGTCTTCAGGCTGGCAGTACATCTCCTTACCACTGAGGCACCAGTGCTCCCTCCTGACTTAGTTGTTTTATTAACTGCCTTTGTGATGTTTATCTTTCACAGATGCATTGAAAACCAATGGAGAGTTGTCAGAAGAGAGAGCAGAAGACACAGACTGTGATGGCTCGCCTTTGCCTGATGATCTTTCTGATGTAAGGATGGATAATGCCTACGTAGACAAACTAGGATCCCTGTTTCAGTGAATTATGTTTTAACCAGAAATGAAAATTACTAGAGATTTGTGCTTATTTTACTAAAAATTTACACTTAAAGAAAAAATAGAAATTAGTTTCATTTGCCACATTAAATTATTCCAGTGAAAGAATCATTTCTAAAGTTTTATCAAGATAATGTGTGTGTGTGTGTGTGTGTGTGTGTGTGTGTGTGTGTGTGAATATATTGTTGTTAGATGCTGTCGAGTCGCAGGCAACTCATAGCGACCCTATGAAGGAGAGTCCTCAATGCTTGTGAGATTTGTGTCTGCTGTTGTTATGTACCATCAAGTTGACTGCGACTCATAGTAATCCTAGACATAACAGCTCTGAAATCTGCCCTATCCTGAGCCAATTTCACTGACTCCCACACATCTAGCCCCATTGTCCCAGTTACAGTATCAATCCATCTCATCTCCTGGATGAGATCTGAGATCTTCCTCTCCTACACTGTCCTTCTACCCTTCCGAGCATGATGTCCTTTTCCAAGGATTAGTCTCTCCTTGCCATGTGCTCTAAGTATGTGAAATAGAGTTTCAAAATCCTAGCCTCCAAGTAAACACTTGGTGTCACCCTCTCCAAGATAACCTATCTGTTCTCTTAGCATACTGTTCACCAGCACCACAAGTCAAATCATCAGTTCTTCTTTCAACCCTAGTCATTGTCCAGTTCTTTGATGCATACCAAGTAATTGAGAAGACCGTGGCCTAAATCAAGCACACCATAGTCTTCAGGCTGACATAGTTGCTTTTTAGCACTTTGGAGAGGTCTCTGATAACCTTTTTCCCCAAAGCAATTCATTGTTTAATTTTTTGACTGCTGGCACCGAAAGTGTTGATTGTGGATCCGAGCAAGCTGAAATTGTTAACAACCTCACAATAAATTCTTTCCAAAAAGTCTTTCTAAATGTTCTAAAAGTCATACTTACATTTTAGTTTTGTAAATTAATTCTATTTTTGTAATTAAAAGTGATACTGAAGATACTCTTTAAAATAAATGTTCTAAAATTTCTTTCAACTTTGCAAATAAGTAATCTTTACTTTTCATTTCAACTACATTTTTTTCTTAAATTATCATATTTTTCTTAAAACCTCAATAAACTTACATTGAATATTATATCTTCATTGTAAAAAAGTATTTTAAACAGAAATATTTACATATACATCTTTTTCTACTCATTCTATACTTCTATCTGAAGTAACTACTATTATAGGATACTTAAAATTTGTTATTATATATATGAAGATATAGATATCTATTGTCATTGTTCACTGCCTTCGAGTTGAACACGACTCATAGTTACCCTATGAACAAAAGTCCTGAAGCCCCTCTACAACTATCAACATTTATCAAAGTTCATAGAGTTGCCGGAGGCATGTTGTTTAGGAAGTAAATGCCACTCCAGCTTCCAAACCTGTCTTAGAATGTTATTGATTGAGTTGCCTGCAATGCATAGTGACCCTGTGTACAGTAGAATTGAATCCTTCCCCTTCCTGAGCCAGCCTCACTAATTCTGACACCCCAGTCCCTATTGCCCCAGTCACTGTATCAGAGTCCATCTCATACTGGGTCTTCCTCTTCTGCACTGTCCCTCCACCCTTCAAAGCATGATGTCCTTCTCCAAGGACCAATCTCTCCTGGCCACATGCCCAAAATAAGTGAGGCAGAGTTTCAAAATCCTAGCCCCCAAGAAGAGACTTGGTTTCACTTTCTTTGAGACAGACCTGTTTGTTTTCTTTGCAGTTCATGGTATGTTCAAAACTCTTCTCCAGCTCCACAACTCAAAGGCATCTATTCTTCTTCTGTCATGCTTAGTCATTGTCCAACTCTCTGAAGCATAACAAATAATTGAGAAGATAATGGCCTGGATTAGGGACACCTTTATCTCTAGACTGACATCATTGTTCTTCAGCACTCTGGAGAGGTCCATGACAGCAGATTTTCCCAAAGCAATTCGTCTTTTGATTTCCTGTAGACACATAGTTAGAAACTTAGTTTTTATTATTGCTGTTTTCTTTGTCTCATTGTCTTGTGAAGGTAGTTAAATACTTGGGAAGTATTGCAAAAGAAAAACGTTTTTGTTTTGCTTTCTCCTTACTGTATTTCTTCTAGAATTCCTTATAAAAGAAATAAAACACAAAATTAATGTGAAGGTGAATAAATAGAACTAGTTTTTTTTAAAAAAATACATGGACCACTGTAATTGCCTCAGTTTGGAATGTGTTGATTAAATGTCACATGTGTTTTTATGATATGTAAATCAGAAACAAAAATACTTGAGCATTATGTGTTCAATATTTATTGCATTGAGCTGATTTGGGTTTTTTTTATTTTCTTTATTGTAGACCACCAAAATAAATGGCTGTGAAGAATATTGTGAAGAAAAAGTATTAAGTGAAAAGTAAGAATATTTATAAAGTAGCTAACATATTCTTTCTTTAGTTGTCCTCTGAGAGCTTCTTTTAAATATTAATAGCTGTCCTTTTTTAATATACTATGGGACTTTCTTATTATCCTTTTTAAATATATTATGGGTACTTTAGCAAAATATTTAATTTTTAAAAAATTTTGTTATTTGAAGGGTCTAGGTACATTGTAAAAATGCATTAGAATATTTCCCCCAAAAGCAGTATTCTCTCCACCAAGGAAGAAAAGATAGCAACAACAACCTAGCTCAAAAGGCTTAACAATAAATACTTGGCTGTGTAAACTTAGACATTAGGATACATGTTATTTTCAAAAATGAATACATGTTATTAATTTTAAAAGGCATACAATGAATAAATATAAGAGGGAATAAACTAAGGGGAAAAGACATACAGTTTTATACTTAATAAATATCAGAAAAGCAGCTGTCTTTTCCACATTGTTTGAGAAAAGACAAAGCAAGAAGGATAAATTGCCCACGATCAGGAGAAGATAAAGTAGATGAATGGGATCTTCTAAGACTCAAATCCCTATGCACATCCAAAAGCTTCTCCAACAGGGTAAAAAGGGAAGCCAGTGACTGGGAAAAAGTATT